TTCTTTAACCCTTTGTTTCTTAATGGCTTTGTTGCCTTTGTTTTTGTTGGAGTGAAATGATTACAAATGTTATATATATATATATATATATATATATATATATATTATATATATATATAAATATATTTTAATAATATCAATTATACAATAACATCAAAATTTAATATGTTAATAGAATCATAAGGTAGATAAAAAAAAATTAAATTATATACACTTTTTATCCTTTTGATGATTGTGTTACCACAGGAAACTGTGTAGCAAATTTTGATATTTTTCTATTAATAATATTATAACATATATATATATAGTCTACATTCTCAGTAATGCTTGCTTCCTTCCTGGCTACTGAGTATCCATTTTTCCCCACTGGAAAATATTGTTACAAACAATGCAAAGACTGAGAGACATTGGTAAATTTTTAAAGAATTTTTAAAAATAATTTTTGCAATCTAGCCAAATTCATCTACCTTATGAAAAATAAGGTAGATGAATTTGGCTAGATTGCAAAAATCATATATATTATTATAAATTTTTATCATCTTTGTTTTTAAATATCCTAAATGTGCCAAGAATATTGAAACATTGTAAGAACCTGGACGTAAATTTATTGTAGCTGAATTAGCAATTAAATCACTTTCTAGACATTTTCATCTTAGTGAATTATTTTCTCTTTTAATTTGAGTAAATTTTTTTATGTCAAAATCATGATCAGTTTTGTTACAATGAACAACCAATGTGTTTTGTGTGTTGTTTTTTTAAAATATCTCTTTTGTGTTTATATAGTCCTTTGTTTAAACTTTTTGATGTTTTTCCAATATATTCTTTCTGGCAATTCTTGCAGCTGATACAGCAAATTCCTCCTTCAAGTTTTGGCTTATTTTTTTTTTGTATTAAGTTTTTATTGTTTTAGATATAGTTGTGACAAATTTGATGTTTGAGTTTAGATAAATTCTTTTCAGTTGTAGTTGTGATATAATTAGTGAGTAGAATAATATTTTGTCTCTCTCTCTCTCTCTATATATATATATATATATATATATATATATGGCCTGTTCTGTCAGTAATACTGGAATTGGTCCTTGTCTGTTGAAAATCTATTTGTTCCTGATTTTTCAATGCACAGTAGCTTAAATGTTAAAACTCATAAAAATTAAGTTTAAGTCAAAAATTGCAAAATTTAGAGTTTTAAGATAAATTTATTATTCCTAACACCAAAAATAATTAGTTTGTTATTGTAGAAAATTGAGTAAAGCTAAGTTGGAGAAGTGGTAATGTCAGTGGGCAGTAATAAATAAAGCCAAAAAATTTGCCTGCATATATTGTCTTCAAATGCAGTCAGTTGTAGAATATGGTTATAATTATGGTTTTGTTTCTCTCTATGGCTAGAATTTGCTGTCATTGTGTATATAAACATTAAAGTGAATCATTTGTTTTCACATATCTGTCCAATACATCCTACTAATGACATCACTTGTCATGTAAATATTTAATCTAGACAGAAATCACAAATTTTCATAGTGTAAATATTGTAGAGCATTTGATAATGAGTTACTAAGTCTGTATTCTGATATGAAATTTACTAAGTCTTTATTCTGATAGGAAATTTACACTGTACACTGACATGCTAAATATCATAGGACAAATTGTAATGAAAGATATGACTTACCTCAGAATTTGAAACGAACACGAACGTGTCTTACCTGCAAAGTGATGACAAAAAGAAGTATGGCTGCTATTGAAGAGAAAAATTTATGTGAGTCTATCTCGTCCAAAACAAGACAATATTTGTACACATGCAAATTTTGTCCATCTTGGAATAGCATAAAAGCAGGGTGCCAGCAGCACCAAACAGAAGTCGTTCAGCGGATTGCACGTGTTGGATGTATGGATTGACAGACAGACAGACAAAGAGGAAGTTGAAGTAGACACAGCTGAGTTGGTGTCTGTTTCACAACTGCTCAGTGTAATGGCCGAGAAAGGGAGCCATGCAATCCATTTCCTTGAGGCGACCAAAGAAGAAGAAAAAACAGATGGCCTGCTGGCAAGCATTGCACTGCACTTTTTGACCTCCCCCCTCATTATCATTTATTTTTTTTGTAACACAAATGCTTAATTTCATGTAGCAACCCATCTAGCTATTTGTGGTGTGGCAACTCAATGTGACATTGATTGCATAATGGGTCAGAACACCTCTTTATAATTTTCTACTGTGCCCTAACATTAGTATATGTATGTGAAGAGACTTCTCCACCAGCTATATGAATAAATGTGAAATTGGAGCTTAATTCTCCCACAAATTCCCAGGATAAAAGGTCCCAACACTACTTTATATTAATTTATACATGGTATTTACTCTGTCTCCCCACTGAGATGAGATGTGACACAAGGTCTTTTTTATGGTGAGGACTCGAGCACAAACACCTGGGCAAGGAACAAAAATTGCCCACAGCCCCTATGCTGGCCTCGGTGTAAACGCCAATCCCTCTCTCTGGTGCCATGAGAAGGTAATTTTCCTCAGTTTCCTTTCTGTTCTTTAACAGAGTAGCCCCTGAGCGCACTCTTCCCAAAGACAGAGATGCAACTGAGAGATGATAAGTAATGTGTTAGAAACTACTTTACATGGTATTTACTTGACCCCCCCACAAGGTCAGGTTGTGACACAAGGTCTGTTTAATGTGGGGAGTCTGAGCGCGTGCACCCGAGCAAGGAACAAAAATTCCCCGAGTTCTCGGTGCATGCACCAATCCTTCTCTCTAGTGCAATGAGAAGGCGCGGCCTCGGACAGCTGTTCCCCAGGGCCAGGCACCTCCTCAGTATAATTTTCTCAGTTGCGACTCTGTACTTTGATGGAGCCGCCCCTGAGTGCACTCTGTCCAAGGACAGAGACGCAACTGAAAGATGATAAGTAATGTGCATAAATTAGAGTAATTTACACACTAAAAGCTCAATATCTGAGTTATATATTTTCTAACTCTTGGCGATATCACTTTTCAGGTTTAACTAATTTGCATATTGATTTTAAAAAAGTATATTTCGTCAATTAACTGTCTTTCACTACTATTCTTTTCTTCAAGGATTATTTTGATTTTCATATCAAAAATACTTCTGTTTAGGAATATTGTCTTATATAGTACAGAAAGGGGTTTGAAATTTGCATTTTACTTGACCTTCAACAACTTGGCATCTATTTGTAAAACTTTCTTTAACTATAACAAGTCTGCCCCCACACCCAACCAATTACTTCTGTCTTTACAGTCATATTCTTTGAACAGATATATTGAACGTCCACAATCCTCTCAACATTTCATAAATAGTGAACATTTATCCCATAGAAAAACAACTAATTTTTCCTAGAAAAATTACGAGATAGCGAGTGGGTGAAGCCTGCTCATATCTCATAAATATTTCATTGGAGTCATATCAGGTGAATGCGATGGCTATAACATTTGTTGTAAATCTCCAGAATGATCCTGAAACAAGACTTAATTACACAGTGTATTATCGTCATAATTTATCCTTGCTGGTGTACATAGAGTGCAAACAGGCAGGAAGCAGAGCAGGATAGCTGTTAGTTATCAATGCCATGTGTAGGCTGACCAGCAAACTTAAACCTATATGAGCATACTCCATATGATTATGGAACTACCACCAGTCTATATGCTATCTTGTTGATAACAAGGGTCCATGGATTCATGGGATCTGTGCCACACCTGAACATGACCCCCAGCATGAAGCAGCTGATACCATGACTCATCAGATCATGCCCCATGTAGCCTGTTCTCTATGATCCAATTAGCATCATTGTGCACCCAGATAAAATGTTGTCCACTTTTGTATTGTTCACAAGAGCATCCTGGTGTGTTTTGTGCTCCCATAGAAGCTAAAGAACACTGAACTGACATGCTGCATATGCAGCTGGTGCCTTCTGTATTGAATATGGATGTGGTCTGAGTGAGTGCCACTTCTTTTGTTACCACAATTTTAATCAGATGCCTCTGGTCATAATCATTAACAACACTTGGTTAGCCATTGTGCTTCACGGTGGGTGAAAATGCCTTTATGGTACATTCCAATTGTGAAATTGTAATGACATTTGACATTTTCAATTTATGGTATCACATGTGCGATTGTTCATAATTACATTCCAGATGTCAAAACACAATTGATACTGGTTTGGGAACTTCTATGATCTCAAGGTACACTGGTGCCATGCCATTATCTTAACATACCACTGTCCTATTTTATACTGCATCCCAAATGAATCTGCTGACAGAAAATGGTAATACATCTTCCCTTCATGCTGAGGATATAGATATTCATAGTTGGGATAAGAGAGATCTTGAAAGGAAAATATAAGTATTATATTCAAGCTGTGTTATTAATATATATATATATATGAGTTAAGTGCATTGACAAAAAATTAGTTTGGGAAACAAAGGAAGATTCTTTTTTCATCCTTTAGCCAAGGACATTGATCTAATGACAGAAATAGATTAATTAAGCTGGAATAATTTTGTTTATTGTTCTAACCATCAGACATGCTTTTGGAAATTCCAGTTTATGGTGTCAGCAAAAAAAAATCCAAATATATCTAGTTAATTATCCTGTTCCCAACAGTTTGAGTGACAGGTCCTTCAAGGTGATGAAAACTTTCCAGACAAGATCACTTCCTAAACTCTGACCAAGGATCAGATCTTTTTTAAGTGATTCTTTGTCAGATTTTTTTTTATTAATTAATTTTCTACAGCTTATCAATTCTTTACCGGTTATTTAAAGCGAGAATATACTTTTAGATTGTAAGAAGTTTTTTTCAGATAATAATGGTTTTGGGATACATGTCTTACTAATTAACCCATAGCTGGGATGAGAAGAGGTGCGTTCATACCTTTCTCAAGGATATTGGTGTGTAAATAAATATAACAAACCTAACAGGAATTGGAACTCAGCTTTATGATTAACAATTCCAAACCATTATTCATTACATCACCTGCACCTTCAAGCTTACAGCATCTTGTATTCGCAAGCGATCACCCATCTACATACCAACCTGACTCAGTGTTGCTTAACTTTGGTGATCGTACAGGAACTGGTGTTTCAATATGATGTGGCTGTAAGCTTGGTTCTTGGCCAAGCAAAGAACTTTTCAGCACCTCTTCATACATGCCATTGAATTATCTGACAAATTCCTCTTTTTATATCACAAGGATACTAAAGAAATATTGAACTATATAACCTAGAATTTGTAGCTTGGTGCTCTGAACTCATTGCAAACACACCAGCAACCTTATCACAAATGATATATGATATGATTATTTTCAGATATCAGAGTATTACTGTTTATATTCAATGATTTCTTCAAATCAAATACTAATCCATCTTATTTCAACCAATTTCTCATTACCACTTGAATCATCATCTGGCTATCAACAGACATTGATCAATATTCATTTAGTTGGTTATGTGCCATAGCTTTACTGTTGGTCAGTAAACAAACTACATAGAATGAAGGGTTATTTCAAGTGAGACAAATTGTAAAACTCTTGCCATAAACTCAGTTTGTTGCTCTTTAAAATATTACCACTCTCTATTGGAGATTCTACATTCTCTTTGAATGCAGTAATTTTATAGAAATGTACCACGCACAAATACACAGTTATTTACACACAAGGTACAGAAAAATAAGATAGGGTATCACCTTAGAGGTTTGATTCAAGGATAAATTTACTGGTAATTATTTTATGATTAGTCCTGATCTGGCATCTGGACTACAATCACTATCCCACAGATGTGTCATGGCTTCCTTCTGTCTCTTCTACAAGTATTTTCATGGCAACTGTTCTGACCAGCTACTTTTGCTAGTTCCCAGACTGCATTAATTTAAGCTAGCTTCCAGACTTGCATCTTGGTCCCGCCCTTTCACTGTCAAAATGGTTAAATAAAGTGTCTCTTTTACTCAAACAGCTTCTCTCACACTTCCGATCTGTGGAACTCCTTTTCCCTTACTTGCTTCCCTGATAACTATAATCTTCAAATATTCAAGTGTAATGTCAATTGACATTTGATACCCTGAGCTTGTTCCCCATCCTTCTCTGTATCCTTTCCTCATGCATGCCTCTTTAATCTTGTTTTCAGTCCTCTGTAACTCTTTGGATGCTAGTGGCATTTCCGCCTTTCTTGGGGTGAATTGCTTTTTTTTAAAGAAAAAAAAGAAAGTAAATGTAAAATGTTGTGCTCATTATTAAGTAAAACTTTGGAAATATTTTAGCTGTTTCCTGTTTTATTTTTCATATCTCTTTCGGACATATTTCAATCATAGCTCTCCACAACCTCCCATTTTTTATTGCTGTAAGTAACTTTTAATACTTTGTCTTCCATCCTTGTTCTCTTATCCATTCACTCAAATTCATTTAACTTACTGAAAGCAAGAGAAGCTGAGGAAATCAGCATGTCTTATGAGTATTAAATTCTCCAGGGTTTCTTTCTTCATTGTGTTCAAATATTTAATTTATCTCTGATTGTTAGTCAGCAGAACCTTTTATTTGTCACTTCAAGCCACATCTATATTTGAACTTGAAGTCAAGAATAGTCAGCAAAGCTAATTGGATGTCCTGTTGCCATGATATTGAAATATGATCAATGAAAACTCACAAAATATACCATCACTTAGGATGATTCAATAGCATGTACCCATCTATGGCCAATTGGTGTTATTAGATTCAATTGTAAACAAATACAATTTGTAAATAAATTACAGTTTAGCTGGCCAGATCAGTCCAGCCTGGAAAGAGTTAAAATTGATTTAGATGCCTGGAAATTATTATTTCATTGTGAATATCCAGTGTCAGTTATCGAGAGATAATCTAATGTCACAGTGAGTACATTATAGATATGCAATAAGACTAAAACCAGAAGATGATGACCTACAGTTCAGAGGCTGGATCTGGCTGGTGAAGGGGTTTTGATTGGCCCCTCAGCAAATATTACAATACTATTCTCATCTGCCCTGTAAATGATTTTTCCTTATATTGCTTCATGCAAATTCACTAATGTATATATAAACAGTGTCTTGTTACATTGGTCACAGGTTTCATTTTTATTCCAAAACAAACACTGATGTATATATTGATTTATTGACTGTTTTCGTTAAAACTGGTTAATCTTTTTTATTAGACTTAATTTACCACCATTCAATGCATCATCTTCTGAGATTTTTCTTTTTACAAATTCTTTGTCTTTTAATAGATTCCAAAGATGCTTTGTCTTAAATTAATTGAAACTTTAGTTCTTTGATTACTAATTGGCATCCTCAGCACAAATAATTTTCCAGAATGCATTATTTATTGATCTGTGGCAAAATAAAACCTGAATTATTTAAATGGATAATTCCCAATTTTCAAGCTATTTATAATAATTATCTGTTCCAAAAATGGATGCAGTACAACAAAGACAAAGAGAGATAATTAAAAAGCAAATATTCCCAAGTGCAACAAAGGACTGGAAGCAGTGGAGTACCGTGAACGCTTATGTTTTGAAAGTATTAATACTTGATCTGACATGTAGAAGCAAAAAAATCACTGAATGTTTATTTAGATCCAGTCCAATCATTCATGCCTATGTATGATAGCACAACAGACTGTAACTTGCAGTTATATCACAAGAGAAATTTTGAATTTAATAAGTCTAATGAAATTTAAAATTTTTCTTTTAGAAATAAACCTCCTTGTTTCGGGATCAGAGTGATAAAGGTTAAGTGTGCTCAAATGTTGTCAAGCTGTGTACTTTCTGTATTGTGGGTAATTAAAATAACAAAATGGAACAATCTCCATTTTTATGTGTTCATCCCTCAAAAGAACTTCTTCATTCTCATAATGCTTTTATTGATGGAATCCTATATATGCAGTGGGCAGAGATAAAATACAATGAAATGCTGGTTACAATTTTACATTAAGAAATTCTGTATTGTGTTCACTGCAACATATGTTTTTACTGGGGACAGAAATGACATGTGTTCTTGCTAAGGCACCCTGTGGCTAAAAGAGAAAAAAGGAAGAGAATGATTCTTGTGCTTTTTTCTTATATACTGCTTTTGGCAGTGCCATAGAGAGGTTGTCAGCAGAAGTTCTTTGACAGACAAGTGGATGTAGCTGCACACTGTTCCACTGTGTTTATTTTCCTGGTGTTTGTAAGCCTGTTTTATGATGGCTGGTAAAAATTAACAGTATGGATAAAATTATTTTTTGTTTACAGAAACTGTTATGTTTTAAAAAGTTTTTAAGATAGAGACCTTTTGGAAAAATACAAGCATATGGAGAATATTCATCTTCTAAGCATATTGAACTATCCCTTGAAGATCAATAGTAATTTAACAATCTGAAACGATCAAAAGTATGTACATATTGCCGATATAATGAATATCACCAGTAAACTATTCACAGATGATGGATTTGTCCTGGAGATCCTATCATCAAATGTTCACATTAGAAAATTAAACATATTTTGGTAAAATTCATGCTATCACATTTGCTCACCAAGGATCAGCAAAACAATCATTAGAATCAGCATGAAGATTCAAGACATTAAGTTTGAGATGACCCAAGCTTCTTTCCAAAGTTGCAAACACATTTTAAAAATAATTCTGCTTGTATTTAGATTGCCCCTCTAACTTGGCTCTTCTATATGAAAAATAATAACATTTCATGTTGCAATTTTGAAAGGCTTAAAGGAATTATAAAAATAAAGCTGTCTGGTTATTTACACTATTTACACTGTTCAGACTGTTGACCTCATATTCACAATGTTTCGGCCATTGTATACTCCAGCCTTCTTCAGGTGTTTGGGATTTTAAACTGAACCCTTTTTGTCCACCGGGGTATACTGTTCTAATTTCCCATGCAATGCCTCTTCCAAATATGTCAATATAAATTATTTTCCTTTAACTCAACTCTTCAAGTTTTTTGTTCACCTATAGCTAGGTATTGAACTCCCAACAATTTCACTGGATTTAACCAACACTTTTATCCACAGGCCAATTATCCTTGAGGACATCTGTGTAGGAATTTGTAATATGAGCTCTGATAAAAAATGGTTACTGAGACATTAGGTTTATAAGTTCCCAAAATTCATACTCTGATGAACATGGCCCAGTGGATAAAAGTGTTGGTTAAATCCAGTGACTTGACCCAAAAGTTGTGAGTTCAATACCTAGCTACAGCAGAGGTGAACAAAGAACTTGAAGAATTGAGTTAAAGTGAGATAATGATAACTTATACTGAAATATCCAGAAAAGGCATGGCACGAGGAACTAGAACAATCTACACCCAGTGGATGAAATAAGGAGTTAAGTTTGAAATTTCAATCATTTGAAGAAAGCCTGTGCGTACAATGACTGAAACATTGTGAATATGGCAAAAAAAGATGAGTACAACAGTCTGAACAATGCAAATAGTGTAAATAATTACAATGCCTCAGTTTAGAAATATAGAGAGTTTTAAAATTAGTATTTGGGTACAGTGTCAAAGGTTTTAACATTTTGGAATTTGCTTTTTATGGGTCTCTTGAATATCGGCATTTCTTTTTATTTGTACAAGCACACTATGTAATTAGTTAGTAACTGTTCCACTGGTCTTAAGAGAAAGGTAAGTGATATGAGACTGGCTGCTGAAAAGTCAAAGCAACACAAAGACAACATGAGATGTAGTAAACTTATTTATTCAAACTTCCCACTGGACCTGTCTTGCTCCCAGCATTCCTTTGTGGGCCTGGAAGTGCTTAAAATCACAATCATATATAAGCATTATTGATGCTGTCATAACAGTGACAAAACTGTTATAATAATATTTACTACAAATACTTTCATGGTAATTGTTCATATAAGCTCTTTGTGATGGTACCTAGACTTTATGAATTTCAGCACAGTACTAGACTGGCATTGATATGTCATCATTTTACAGTGAACCATAAATTCTATGTAGTTTCTTTTCTTGCACTTCTCACTTGTAAAATGATCTTCCAGCTTCATGCTTTCCAGCCAACTTTAATCTTCAAAAATTTAAATGCAATGTCAATCACTGTCTACTCTTTTTATTCCTGCTCATTGTTTCTGTTTTTTAATT